AATATAGAACTATGGTCCAACTATAAAATCATGTGATATAGAATTCCCATACCAGTAAGACTATGCTCTGTTTTTCAGTAACATTTTGTAATTATATGTTGATCATGCCAGCTGAACCATTGGATAGGCACTTCTTTTGATAGACTGTTCTGCAGTTTGGCTTTGTCACCCTTTCTGCTGCTCCATTTATTGAACTGCTCCAGTTCATTTAGTAGCACTAGCAGTGAACAGCCATGCCTAGCTCTACCCACAGCCTTTCATATGGACAGTACATTGGGCTATTTGCAGGAGCTTTGGAAAATATTAAAATATGTTAAAGCCCTGCCACCCCATCCAGCACTGTCTAGCAGGGTGCAGGTAAATTGCAGCTTCTCAGCCCCTTTTAGCATTCAGAGGAAACTCACATGTCTTTTAAGACACTTTTATTGCCAACTTGCATCAAAAATGCCTGTTTATCACTGAGATAAAAATTCGAGAGGCTTTGGATGGCCCTTGGTGCTGATAATAACAATAAATGCCCACTACACCTAAAACCGATAGTACAGTTTAAGGTGAGCAGCAGTGGACATATTGGCTGATTTTCTTGTGTCACCCCTTCTGACAAGGCAATGAAACATCACGCACACGCACCTGGATCCTCCAGTTCTTGGTTTAATTCTAAATTACTTTTACATAGTTTTTGTCAGAGTATGACACCATCATGTGGCTTTGGATTGGCTATGTATTTGGACAGAACTAGTAATGCTGTGTTTAACCATTTGCCTGCTGAGCACTTTTACCTCCTTCCTGCCCAGGCCAATTTGCACTTTGAATGACAATTGCGCGGTCATGCAGTACCCATATTACATTTTTATAATTTTTTTCACACAAATAGAGCTTTCTTTTGGTGGTATTTAATCACCACTGGGTTTTTTATTTTTTGCACTATAAATGAAAAAAAGAGCAAACATTTTGAAAAAAAAAAAGTTTTCTTTGTTTCTGTTATAACGTTTTGCAAACAGATAATTTTTCTCCTTCACTGATGTGCATTGATGAGGCTGCACTGATAAGCAGCTCTGATTGGAACTGATAGGCAACACTGATGGGCACTGATAGGCAGCACTGATGAGGCAGCACTGGTGGGCATTGATGAGGAGGCACTGATGATGCTGCTCTGATATGTGGCACTGAGGGGCACTGATAGGTAGCATTAAAAGGCACTGACTGGCATCACTGACTGATGGCGCTGATAGGTGGCACTGACTGGCAGCATTGACAGGAACAGATTGGCAGCACCGCTGAGCAGGACTGTTGGGAACTGATGGGTAGCACTGTTGGGCACTGATGTGCACTTTTTGGGCTGCACTGATAATCAGGGCACTGATAATTAGTGCCTTGATTATCAGTGTAGATGTTTTCTTTGACAGTTGCATTGTTTTTACAATTGTATTCAATTTTGGAAATATATGCTAGTGGGTCATGTGATGGTAGTCCCCGCCCATGGGTAGATTTGATACGGCCCACTGTCATCATTTGTTAGCATATATAGGAGAGGTGCAGACTCTTGAAGTGTTGGCTCTGAGGAAGAGGCTGAGTCCTTGAAACGCGTCAGCCAGTTGGTCATCCAGAGTTCTATCGTATGGACTCAGATGCTGTTTGGATTGAACACCTTGTTCATTGTGATATACCTGTGTTTTTTTATGTCCATTGTGAGTATGATACTTATCTTTTTCTCTCAATAAATATTTTTAAATGATAATGCACTAAGTCGGTGTGCCCTCTTTTTGTTTTTTCATTTGTATTTATATGGTGGTCAGATGTGATTGGACACAGCAGATCACATGGTAAAAGGAAACTGTGGTTGGCCTTTTATTATGTCATATAATCAGCTGTGTCCAAAGGATACAGCGATCACAGACAGTGCTGGGTGCATGCTGCTGAAGAACTGGACGACCATGCTGTAGTTGTCATTCGGCTATAGTGAGGTAGGGAAGTGTTTAAATAACTCACTACTGGAACCCCCAACCCCCTAATCCCCAGGAAGTAAGGGAACTCTAAAAAAAAAAATTGGAGGAGTGGTTTTCACACTGTATTCAATGTAGGTGAGGAAGGATATATGCAAAAGGGTACATAGCAGGGGTAGGCAACCTTAAATAGGTGGAGATCTACCTGAAGAACATGGGAGAACTCTGCATTTTCCAGTCACAAGTTTTACCACCCCTTGGAAAGTAAAAAGTTATATTCTTTTTACTTTCCAAGGGGTGGTAAAACTTGTGACTGGAAAATGCAGAGTACCTGATTAACAAAGACTGGAACAAATCAGAGCTGGTGGCTAGAATAAATTGGGTTTTAAGAACTCTTGTACATCCTCAAAGTTTATACCAAGCTTTCTGGGTGTTTGCATATTAACATCTTTATAAAAATATGAACTTGGCAAAGTTAATAAAAGTCTCTTTGCATTTACCACAAACACTTTCAGGACTCAGGACTTCAAAACAGCCACAGTCATAACAGATGGCAAAGTATACCAGAACCATTTGAGTAATTCCTGATTGTGTTGTAGGGGGCAAATATTTTATTAGAAAGTGCATTTTACTTGGACTTTAAGAGAAAATTCAGAGAAAATATTTTAGGTTTTATATCAATATTTGTATTAGTAAAGTTTTACATTATGTTGGACTCATTTTTGTTGCATATATTTTTGATGGATGGATGAGTTTATATGAGCCTTCCAGAGTGGAGACACCTGCTGTTCCAGGTTTGACACATTGGGGTTTATTTACTAAAGCTGGAGAGTCCAAAATCAGACTCCCTTCTGCATAGAAACCAATCAGCTTCCAGGTTTCATTGCCAAAGCTTCATTGAACAAGCTGAGTTTAGAAGCTGATTGGTTTCTATGCAGAAGGGAGTCTGATTTTGGACTCTCCAGCTTTAGTAAATAAACCCCATTGGGACTATCTTGTAGGAGACCTCCATGGGATTTTTGTACCAAAGTGCTTCATGACCTTCCATGGTTAGAGGATCATGGTTATTCATTAAGCGTAGATGGTGTTGTCTGGTAGAGGCACCTCTTATCTTCCCAGGATACTATCAGCTCTCCCTTGGATATGGTCATACTCCTTCTTCTTGGGTTTTGAACACTTGTTTTATTCCTTATTTGATACATTTTCACATTGGGACTATAATTTCTTATATCAGTCTGATTACATATATTTTACATACTTATTTTGTGTATTATTTATGGTCATCATCTTTGTCACATGCCTGATGAAGGGGTCCTGCGATATTCCAAAACATTGTCTTGCTGTAACTATTTTGAACTTTTGGACCCATAGTGGTGATCCACAGTGTGTTGGTGACATTCTCCCTTATTTATGATCATAGTGCAGCATTTTGTTGTTTCACTATGTTAATATCACATAGTATGTCTGCAGCTTTTTAATAATTTGGTACATACTAGCACAGTGCACTATATGATATATGGGGGTATTTATTTAGTGCCGATAATTAATGCAGTGCTTTACATATGGTATATATTGTACATTATTATTATTATACAGGATTTATATAGCGCCAACAGTTTGCGCAGCACTTTACAATATAAGTGAGACAGTACAATTACAATACATTTCAGTACAGAAGGAATTAGGAGGGCCCTGCACATTCACATCAGTAAATATATATACAGTGTGTATATATATATATATATATATGTAAAATAACATACATAGGCATAGCATACATCTATAGAATTTAAGCCTTTAAGCCAAGTGTTAAAAGTTATTAACTTTTTTTTACATTATAAAAACAATGATAGTTATTTCGGGGATATGGTTAAGTTCGATAAGATGGGTGATGGCCTCCACTGCCACCTTGTGTTTAATCTCCGCATAACATGTTTAAATTGTTTTTCCTTCCCATTCAGCTTCTTTATAACATTCATTTGTAAGCAGTTAAAGCCCAAAGGTTGCTATAGTACACAGTTAACTGGCTGCGGCCAGAATTCACAACAACATAGTAAAAATGAAGGTAAAAATGGTTCAAGCAGATTGTCTCTGCTATCCTTTCACATAATGCTATCGGGAATGGACACATCGATGTGTAGTACAGATATCAGTAATCCTGATGTGGGATCCTATATAGAAGATATAAGGATTTGTGTACACATGTGTTTTAGGAATTTAAAACAAAAAAAAACGAATTTAGTGCACTCAAAACACTTTTGACTTTAAACATGTAAACGAAAGACCTTGTGAAGTGTGAACAAAGATCAAGTTTATCAGAAAAACAGTTCATGTCCATAAGTTGATTAAATCACAAATCCTTAATCCTGGCATAGGCATCATCAAGAGTAATAAAAGACCTCCCTCTTGCTGCATTTGGTGTTGCTCTTTACAAAATCGGGGGAATCTACCAATGGCATTGAAACAAACAAACAAGAAGAGTGCACACTAAGTGCAGTAGAGTTAAAAGGTTTAGGGCCCATTCACACTCACTTGCGCTAAAATGCGTGTACATTTCCATCTATTTTACTCGTGTTTTGCTGATGTCCGTTGACATACATTTTGTCGTCCTTTGACATACATTGTGCATTTTAGCACGGTTACGGTGTGAATAGCACACACTAGAAATGATTGTTTTTCAGATATCCTTCTGCATTTTACAGCTGTTCTAAAATGCACTGGTGTGAATTGGCCCTTAATGTTAAAATCAATTGCAAATTGGCCACTCACAACATTAAAATAGAAAAGGCATGTACTCAGCAATCCCAGCATGGACACCTCTCTGTGTTCACACTTGTAGTCATGGATAGCAGTGCTGTACGATAGAGGAATAGCTGACGCTAGAGGGCAGAATTTAGGTGTTCCAAGCTTTTAGGCTGCAACTGTATTTTTTTTTTTTTTACGTTTTAGAATTACAGGCTACTAGGTTTCAAGGATTTGTTCTGTCCTAACTTTTTTTTATGTTGTTTGTGTGTGATGTCAGTATTTACAATACAACAATACACTTTTATTTCATAGATGTGGCTATTGGAGCTCCACATGAGGAAAATTTGCTGGGAGCAGTATATATTTACAATGGAAGAGAAAAAGGAATCACTCATTCATTCACACAGGTATCTTTTTTAAGATATATTTTTTTTTATGGTGATTTCATGGAAAAGGGTGTGCCTATTATGAAAAGTATCTAAAAGTAAAAATCTATATTTGCCATAGTGATCAGAAATTCATATTTCCATTTCACTCCTCTGCATGCATTAAGTACCCAGCAGATTTCACTCTGAGCTTGTTTATGTCCCATGCATTGCAAGGTTATAATAATCTAATATGTCTGATCATTTTCCTTAAAACTGAACAGCCAGGCAGATATAAAAGATACAAATTAATGCAACTCTGTAATAAAGAATTCTTGTTTTTTTTTTTCAATCAGATCATTTCATTATATACTTCTTAACTCATTTTATACATAGAAGCTTGTACAAAAACACAAAATAGAAACAAGGTAAAGATGCACATAATTTTAGATGAGACATAATAATACATTGTTAAATGTTTTTTGAAAGCTAGCAGTGTAGGTATGTATCACCTTGCTTTGTGCACTGGTGCGCAGTCATGTTGGAACAGGAAGGGGCCATCCCCAAACTGTTCCCACAAAGTTGGGAGCATGAAATTGTCCAAAATTTCTTGGTATGCTGACACCTTAAGAGTTTCCTTCACTGGAACTAAGGGGCCAAGCCCAACCGCTGAAAAACAACCCTACACCATAATCCCCCTCAACCAAACTTTCCTGGCAACCAACAAACCCAGACACATCCATTGGATTGCCAGACAGAGAAGCGTGATTGGTCACTCTAGAGAACACGTTACCACTGTTCTAGAGTCCAGTGGCGGTGTGCTTTACACCAATATATCCAACGCTTTGCATTGTGCTTGGTGATGTAAAGCTTGGATGCAGCTGCTTTGCCATGGAAACCCATTCCATGAAGCTCACAATAAACTGCTGTTGTTTCTAATCTGAAGGCCGCATGAAGTTTGGAGGTCTTCAGTTTTTGAATCTGCAGACAGTTGGTGACTTCTGCTCACTGTGTGCTTCAGCATGCGCTGACCCTGCTCTGTCATTTTACATGGCCTACCACTTCATGGCTGAGTTGCTGTTGTTCCCAGTTGCTTCCACTTTGTTATAATACCACTAACAGTTGACTGTGGAATGTTTAGTAGCGAGGAAATGTCACGGATGGACTTATTGCACAGGTGACAACCTATCACGGTACCACGCTTGAATTCACTGACCTCATGAGAGCGATCCATTCTTTCACAAATATTTGTAGAAGCAGTCTGCATGCCTAGGTACTTGATTTTATACACCTGTGGTCATGGAGGTGATTGGAACACCTGAATCCAATGACTTAGAGGGGTGTTCCAATATTTTTGGCAATACAGTGTATATATTTTTATTCAGGATCAGTGAACCAGTGCATTGAAGTAAAAGGTTCAGTGTAATAGCCAGGCATCTAGCTTTTTTTTAAATGGAAGTTAGCAGCAACACCCTGTGACCAGGGGTGGACTGACAACTCATGGGGCCCCTGTGTCCTTTCCCAAACTCAAAAAAGCCTAGGAAAAAGGTACCAGGGGCATCTCATGGGGCCCCCTACTGACCCCGGGCCCTCGGGCAGCGCCCGAGTTTCCAAATGGTCAGTCCGCCCCTGCCTGTGACATATTTGTTTAACCTGTTCCTGCCCGGCCAATAGAGGAATGATGGCCAAGTGGGACACTCCGCGATTGGGTGGGCGTCATATGACGTCCTTCTCGAATCGCACCTTGTGCATGCCTGCAGTGCTGCGCTGTGGCGAGATCGGTCACTAGCTGTGTACCTCAAACACAGCCGATAACATATCTGTGTACAGGCCCCTTGCAGGTACCATGTGACCTGCTGTGACCAATCACAGCAGGTCACATGACAATTGTAAACAGTGAATGACTTCCTTTCATGCCATCCATTCTATACAATTCTGTCATTAGGTGTGATTAGTCACAGTGATCACATGTACAGACTGGGACAATTACAGCCCATCTGTGTCATGTGATTAGCCATGGCCAATCACTGCTAATCACAACAAAAAACACTGAATGAATCAATTTAATTCAGTTAAATGCTTGCTTATAGCAAAGAAATTCTTTGCTATAAGCAATCATAATGTTTAAAAAAAATAAAATACTGATCACTTTCCAAAGTAGTGCAATGTTTACTGTTAACATTTTACTAATCTGGTCACAGTGTATTATGAAAATAATCTTACAAAAAAGAAAAAAAAATGTAATTAAAAAATTAAAACATTTTTAAAAATTGATACATTTTTTTTCTCATACTGTCACCAGTCAGTGTCCTTGATTACCGCCACACCAGCTATACACTGTACTGCACTGGTGACAGTATGTTAAAAAAAAAAATTCTGTGAAAACTTTTTTTTTAATTTCTTCATTTTCCAAAAAGTATTGCAAAAAAATTACAACTCACTATGCCTCTTACCAAATACCTCAGACTGTCTACTTTGCAAAAAGGGGTCATTTGGGGGATATCTGTACTGTTCTGACATTTTTGGGTCTCAAGAAATTAGATTGGCTGTCAGTACTTCAGGACTGATCAATTTTCATATATATCCCATAATTTTCTAACTCTATAACTTTCCTACAGACTAAATAATAAATCCTAATTTTGGGTTATTTTCACCAAAGACATGTAGCAGAATACATCTTGGCCTACATTTATGAAGAAAAATTATTTATTTGCAAAATTTTTATAACAGAAACAAAGAAAAACATGTTTTTTGTTCAAAATTTTGGGTCTTTTTTTTTGGGTTAATTTTGCAACAAAATAAAAACCCCAGTGGTGATGAAATACCACCAAAACAAAGCTCAAGTTGTGTGAACAACATCATAAAAATTTAGTTTGGGTACAGTGTTGCATAACAGCGTAATTGTCATTCAAAGTGTGAGAACACTGAAAGCTGAAAATTGGCCTGGGTAAAGGAGTAAAAGTGCCCGGTATTGAAGTAGTTAAATAGGCTAAATAATTTGTTGTGTTTTTTACAGCAGTGACTATTCCATGCTCAGCATAAGCTAACAAAATGACAGTTAAAACACTATATTGTATAATTTAATGCAGTATTCATAGTAATATGCTAATCTGCAATTAAAATATAGAGTTTAATGACCACTTCTGTAATGAACAACACAAGCATAGCAGAGCTAACTGTGTGCTATTCGTGACGGTCATTATTGTTCATATTACACCTCCTACATATAAAAATGATATATAACACATAGATATAAATGTCTTGTTATGTCTTGCGTGTTATGCCAAGATTTTGCAGATAATTGGTAATATGAATGGTTTGCTGAGAGCTTCCCAAGCTTTCTTTCCTGCAAGATTCCCTGAAGGAACTAACCTTTGACTATGTCTTCCTTCATACTTCATCCGTAGCAAAGCTAAGAATCGCAGTCATCAGTCTGTGTGTTTATCGATATGCCTGACCAATGCCATTATTTCCTTTTATAGAGAATTCAAGGGAAGAAACTTGGCTATTCCTTGAACATGTTTGGCCAATCGATATCTCAAGGATTGGATGCTGATGGAAATGGTTATCAAGGTAAGTCATTAAAACACATCTGAGGAATATTTTTAGAGAACAGAAATACATTTTTAACCTAGAATGGCATAGGATAGTAATTCCAGTAAATAGTGTTTTGTGAAGGGCCTTGCCTGCTTTCTTCCAATGTACCTGGTCATGATCTGAGGCTAGGCATTTCCTTTTGTTCTAAGCTTTCCCTGTATGCACCAAGGATGATATTTCTCTAAAAAATTAAAGCATCATCCCAACTATTGCACAGGTCAAACAAAAGATGTTGTAGTATCTAGTCAACAAAAAATTGGCCACTATTTTACAAACTGAACCCTTGGATTTCCAGCTACTTATGGGAAAATCACAATGACTCATTACGGTCACTTTAATCAGCTCAAAGTTACCATCTGGGGGTTCACCCCATGGGCAGATTGGTCATGGCCCAGCTTTGAACCATTAGCTTGTCTTCCTCTCCTGTATTCCCTATTTTCTTGTTTCTTTTTTTCTTTTTGTACTACTTTTACATTATTGCTATGATTTCAAAGTTGCTATTTAAATAGTTTTTTTTTTCAATTGACCTGTTCAAGCTGAGAGATGCCTCCCCTGAAACTGTATGGCATTGGTACTAGGGGGTAGAAGAAGGAGCATCTCTGATAGAATACATAACTCTGATATAGCATTGCATTTTTTGGATTCATTATTAGGTTTTTACTATTGCATGGGCAAATATATCAGTGCCAGTTTGTAATCATGTTATGTAGTAGTCTTAGTTCTTAACAATTAAGGAAAAGGTCAGCTGGTGAATAGTACTTGAAAATTGCTCATATTTGTTTCATGTCTCCATAGATATTGCAGTTGGGGCCTTTCTTTCTGACTCTGCGGTGTTGCTAAGGTAGGACTACATTGCTGTATTATGTCTGGGCTGTTCCTACAATGAGATAGGAGGATAGTTACTCAAGTATCACCTTCTAAGGCAGTGTCTGTCCAGCTCTGTCATTCAGTATGCCTCACAGGTCATGTTTTTAGGGTTTTATTATTACTGCACAGGTTGAACAGCTTTGTCCCTGGAATAGTAAATGCCACATATTTTCTTACTGAGGGAAATTCTAACAGCATGATCAGTTGGTGTATTTGACAATTTGATTTGAAAACTGCTTTAAGGAAGGTGCAGCAGCTTACCTTTTTTCATTGCCCATGCCATATTGAGCACAGCTGCAGGCTATCACTGCACAGATCTTACTGCATACTGTTGTAGAAGTAGACCAAAACACAAAGGTTTTTTTTTTTCAAACTATGGGATGACTACATAATGAGCGACTGAATTGCTAAAATGCTACCATTTTATGAAGAAAATGCTGCTGTAGGCAGCCTTCCATGTGGCGTGTTTTTTTGGTCACATGA